AATGGGAGAGGCCACAACAGTGAGAGGCCCGCGTACCGCAAAAAAAAAAAATCATGCAAGCAGTATAGAATTCTGTGACATCTAAGTAGTGGGCTTTTAATAAAAAGGAATTTTATGTTTTTCACCTCTGAAATGAATGAATTGTATTCATATATGCAAATTAGCAAAATCTATTAGGCCTAAAGATATAATTAAATTATATGCATTTTTAAAAATCCACTATTAGTATAATACAGGATCTAGCTAAGAGTTATTGTTAACTATGTGAAGCCATATGTATGAAAATATTGTAATGTGAAAATAATGTTATAGAACAAAATATCTTTTCCAATAGTTTTGTAAATCTGCTATAATCTAGTAGAAAATATAAATCTTACCAAAAAATTGTTTGTCTCAGCCCACTAATATGGCAACAATAAGAGTTGAAACAGCTCTCACTAAGACACTGAGTATCATAAAGACAATACAGAGAAGAGTAACAGAAACAATGGATACATCTTCAGAAAACAATAAAACAACTGTTGTGTAAGATAAAAGTTCCTATTGTATAGGAAGAAGGAAACTAGTTATTTTTCTTTTAATAAGAAAATTACCATTTACACAATAAGGTTGGCTGATCTGAAACACCTTTCCTTGCAGCACCTTTTCATGAACTATGTGGTTGATTTGGTGGCAAAGCTGAAACTGAAGCCAAGAAGATTCAAGTTATCTCTAACCTGAAGTATTATTGATCAGTCACTGGAACTTAGAATAATTATGGCATTTCTTTTATCCTAGATTAGTTCTTTCTAAGAAAACATAAATTAAGTAAAACATTTAAAGATATATGCACTTCCTAGGCAAATAAAATAATGTCAAACAGTAGTGGGCTTAAATATCAGGGGAAACAAACAAGCAAACAAAAAACAGAGTAGTGGAAGCTCAGATAAACTCAAGAGCCTGTCTGATTTGACCAGACCAGGGTCCCAAATTCCAGGGATCTTGCTCAATAGCATCATTTTTTAGGTATCTGGTGTGCATCATTTGATGAATTTAAAAACAAAAAAAAAGAGACAAAAAACACCCGTGTTTTCCCAATGAAATGGTGCTATTTGAAGCAAGAACTAGGAGAGCGCATAAATGTAGGCATTCTTCTTAAGAAGGTGGACCTTTAGAGTCATTTTCTTAATGTTCAATATGATCTTCCTTTATGTGAATGAAGAATGTACTGGCCATTCACTAGCAGTGTGTTATTATCATCATTATGAATCCATTAGACATACTTAGGTGAGCTGAGTAACAGCCTTGTGACCAAATCCTCCTTCTCTTGCTTTTAGTGTAGCATTTAATAGAACACAAATTGCTCCTTATTTATTTTTGCCTATGGTAAAAATTCTAAGGAAATATAAAAGTCCTCTCCTTTGCCCTTGGATATCAATAGAAGTAGTAGATGTAGTGAGTTTTGAGTATTAAGTTGTTGCATGTTTGTCATTATTGTAACAAGTGAGTCACAGCTATATCTGATAAACCTAGTAGTAGTAGTTATTAAATCTGGAATATCCTACCCTAAGTGTAAAGTTGCAGGGAGGGAGGGCAGCAAAAAGGTCTAATGCTTAATAAAAGTATGCAGTTTCCATTGTCTTTGGAAGCTGTATTTTCCTCCTATACAATGATATGAAACACAGGCACACACATGCATATTAATACTAATACACGCATAACCAGTCTGCAAAGGAGACATGTGGCATGGTTGCAGTTATTTTAGTTTGAAAGTTATCCTTGGAACACTCTACCACAGTGCTGTACCTTAGCTGATTTCCTCCTGCCTTTCTTTGCCTAATGGCTTTCTCTTGCTACTGAAGCCTGTTTTGCCACACTCTGCAGGTAGCATATGCAGGAGAATAAATGTCTTTCTCTCCCAGTTGCCCTCAACCAATGACTGACAGCTGGAGTCCTTTCATCATCTCCCTTACATTTTAAGGTGTACATTTTAAGGTGTAACTCTGAGGTGTACGTCCAATGGAAAGAAGCTCCAGTCACTCATGAAGGCAGATGACTTTACTGATTCTCCTGTCTCATTTCCATATTCCCTTACTGATGAGTCCCTTACCTCCAAAAGAAACTATCAATACTTTCACTCAAATCCTTGTCTCAGGGTCAGCTTCTGCTTCTGGAAGAGCCCAAACTAAGACATATGTCAAACATGACTTTTAACTTAATAACCCTGAGAATATTTGCAATTTCAACTCAATTCTTAGGTCCAAATTGCAAATAATTTTGCTAACACAGACCTTTTGTGGTTTGATATGTTATTTAAGCACTTATAATGATCTTCACACATAATAGATGAGGTAAAAATGTAGGTATGAAAAGTAGGTATATGTTTGTATTAAAGTTATACCAGCCTACTTAAAATACTGAATTCACCATTAATTTTTCCAGTTCAGCAGTATTTTAATTGTTGTGAAGCTATCCTAATGTTTTAAAAGTTGAGAAAATAGTAAGAAGTGTTTCTGCTTGATATTTATTGAAACTCTGCCAATAGCAGTTCATCAATCTGTTAATCTTCTAGCAGTTATTCACCAGGTAGGAAAGGTGCAGTCAAAATATTTTCCCTAATTTTTTTTTTTTCATTTTTAAGATCAGACTCTTTAGAGTCTGTTGGTCACCAGATCCATCAACCATCTAGGAAAATGATGCCTTTCATGGCTCAATCAGAGCCTCATCTAAATTTCAGCAGAAATCTGTAACTTCAAGCTGCCACCCCTACTCCTGTTTCCATGGGAATAGACTTCAGATGAGGGAAAAGAAAAAATGGACGGGGTTAGGAGCTTTCAAATAGTCATTCAAAATCATGATGAGGTTTTCAAAGCTTCTTTCCTAGGTGATTATTTTGTAGCCTCTTAACCCCTTTTTGCCAGTCTGTTTCCATGGAAATATGACAAAAATGGCTGTCCAAGCCTCCAGCAGAGATTATTAGCATTCTTGTGAATTTCAGCTTTGCCTGCTGTCTAGACTAGGCAAGATCTTTTACTATCAGTTTTACATATTAACTACACTGTTTCTACTCATTGTCTTTTTTCTTTATCATTTTTATTTCTTTGAAAGTTCCCTTCACAAATTTATACTCATGATCAAGATCAAATTGATCGTGACATCACTGAAAAAAGCTTGTTTTACATTTTAATATTTGAACCGGCTGTAGAGAGCGTCGGAAATTTTAGAGACCGGCAGAAGGAACATTATTTAGTTATTGGATTCAATGTCTGTTAGATAGGTGTTGATAGATATGCAGCAAGAATCATATTTAAAATATTTAGCAACTGTTAAGACACAGCACTGAAACCAAGTGGGACACTGTGGGCTCCTGGGATCTGGAGCCTTTCTGTTCAGCCTCAGTGACCTTCCCTGCGTTCCAAAGGGCAGGTTCAAACAGTTGGTAATCAGGGAAGGGAGGGGGTTCAGAGACAAGGAAGGAGCAGGCAAGAAACAATAGGGTCCCGAGATACAAATAACAATATCTTTGTGCTCTTTACAGAAAGAAAACCCCCAACAAATGGAAATTGTTAGCATTCTTCATTCCAGATTAAAGGAACCAGAAAAGCTCTTCAAGACACCAACTGAGGCCAGATTAAAGGAATGGAGGCCCTGCAACACACCCTAATCTTATCAGCAATCCCACCCTTGAACCACTGCTATAGAACTCCTCACTAACCTCACTAAACCCTCGGGGTTGGGACACACAGTTCTGAGGGCAAGAGCCTGCTTTGCCCCCCTCTGCCAGGCACAGCAATAAAGCTATTCTTCACCCAAACTCTGTCTCCGAGGTTCGAGTCGGCACTGGTGCACAGAGACAGAGCTTTCGGCATCTGCACCAACCAATCAGAGCAACAGGTTGGTCCCACTTAAATTATCAGCCCTATTGTGTAACAACCAATAAGTTGTTAAACTAAAAGTAGCCCTATATAAGATGAGTATAGCATTAGACCCAAATAAATTATCCAGCGCCGCAAACTGAGCTCCTATAAAACTTACAAAAGAGCGTACAAGAGAAAAGGATAGAAAAACATAGCAATTTGTCTTTTTAAAAATCAAAGTGCATATTCTTTTATATGAAGGTCATTTGAAAATCAAAATCATTCTTATTACTGAAGACATTATGCTAAAAGATAGAGAAAGAATACATATGGGTCTTTGACAGCACCTCTGGCGAGATATCTTGTGTTGAATGTGAAAAAATAACAGCATGCTACATACATAGTTTCATCTGTTGTACCTTCTGAAATTTGCTGAGCAGCTCAATCTACAATTATTGCTAGGAGAAATCTTAAAGTTCTGGTTGACCTTATAAAGTACTTTCATTCTTCAGAACTCTTATTATTCTATAGTTGGAGCATTTTACCTATAAGGTCTTGTCTTATGAATTTGAATTGAAAAAAACAAGTTTCAATGTGTAATTATCTGAGTTAGTGGGTTCCTAATTTAAATTTAACAGCAACTAACTCACTATCAAAACTAATCCTGATTGATGTTTTCAAGTAATATATCATAACAACAATAAAATAAAGCAGTCTGATTTTCCAAATCATCGTCACTACTCTCAAATGCAGTCTGGCATAGTAGTTAAACACATGGCCGTTGAGGGCAGGATTTGGTCAGCAAGCCAAATCTGGCTTTTAGCTTGCTTGTGTAAATAAAGTTTTACTGGAACACATTCATACCCATTCGCCCATTCCTGTGTTTTTTTGTTTTTTGTTTTTTTTTTAATTGTCTATGGCTGCTTATCTACTAAAAGGAGAGAGTTGAGTAGTTGTCACAAAAACCACATTGCAGGAAAAGCCTGAATATTTATTCTCTGGTCTTTTAAGCAAAAGTTTGCTGACCCTTGCTTAAGCCTTTAATTATAAAATTATACCATTTCCAGAGAAGACACTTTGAAGTTGAAGTCTTTTTGTTTTTTAATTCTAAAAGCAGTCTATTAATAATGGATAAAAACGTGATTGCCTGCTGTCTGTACTTACATCCATAAACTCCACATTGGCTTTGGGACCAGTTGTTTCATTAAGAATCTTAATAGCCACAGGAATCTTCACTGTTTCTCCTTCAGGGACCCAAATACCCTTGGGAGGAAAAAAATCACATTAAATCTATGTTAAGACATACAACATTTAGACCAGAAACAAAATTTGATTAAACACTTGACCTATTAATACCTTAAAAAATAATTTAGAAGTTCCATATTTTGTCATTCAATCAACAAATGTTTTTCAAGCACATGTTATATGTTACAAATTACTCAGCAACTTTGTTTTCTGCTTTCATTACCTGAAGGTGGATCATATGTGTATTCTGCTTTCAAGGTGTTTACGCTATTATCAAGTTCAATTTGTGTACATGAAAAAGGCTTTGAATAGTAAAAAAAAAAAAAAAAAAAGAAGAAAAAGAAAAAACGTTGAAATAATAATAATATTTGACTTGGATGATATCATCAACTTCTCACAACTTTGAGAAAGCTGTTTTGATTTTTGAACTTCAATTGTCTTATTTGTAGTTTAGAAGACTGGGGTAATTAATGTTGGAGGTTCTTTTCAGCTTTGATATTATCTAATTATTCTGCAACTAAAAATAAAATGAAATAAAAAAGCATATTCTTATGTATCAAAATTCAGATTGATTTAAGAATTAATTTTCTAAGGTTGATTGTTTAAGAATTAGTTTTCAGGGCTTCCCTGGGGGCACAGTGGTTGAGAGTCCGCCTGCTGATGCAGGGAACACGGGTTCATGCCCCGGTCCGGGAAGATCCCACATGCCGCGGAGCGGCTGGGCCCGTGAGCCATGGCCGCTGAGCCTGCGCGTCCGGAGCCTGTGCTCCGCAACGGGAGAGGCCACAACAGTGAGAGGCCCGTACTAGGGAGTATTGAGCACATATTAATTTGTCTATATTATTTAACATTCAAGGATTTTTATTATTTCTGAAGTAATATAAAATATTTATATTAGTCACTGAAAGTTCTCTCTTCCTCTAGAGACATAATTATATTCAAACAGGACCTGTGCATTGTGGGAAAGTATAAAGTTGGCAGGGTTTGGGTAAAGTACAACTTTAGCTAAATAACAGCATTTCTGAGTAAACAATTCAATCATCTGAATGAGGATAATGATACTGATAATACAGGGGTGCAGAGAATATACAAGAATTTTTTTTTTTAAGTGTATCGTCCCAAAGGAACACAGAAGCAGATATGAGGTTACATGTAAAAAAAAATCTCAAATTTTAATTTATTAGCCTTGACATCAAAAATGTCTTCTAAGGACAGTTTTAACATTAAAATGAAAGGAAGAAAAAAAAATAGTCTACTATTCCTGAGCAGAACACCTCCACTTCCTGTTTTTCTTAATATCAGCTGGTTGTAGTTATAAAGAAAATATTTTTAAAAGTTTTTCACTTAGTACTTCTATGCTAAGACATATGTATTTGTGTTATCCAAAGTGGTAATAATATAAGAGAAGACCTAAACACAAGAATTATTAAAAAGTCAAAATAATAAAGAAAAAAAGACCTTAACCTTTAGAAGGTGAATTTAAGGGTTATGTTCTTAGAGTGAATAGGGAAATCTATATGTCAAATGCAAAATAATAAGCCGAGTTCCCTGCAGTATATTTTTTTTGTAAATTATTAATGTAAAAATGAGAAAAAAAAAGCCCAAGACCCATTTTCTTTTTGATGGTACTAGGGTGGAGAACAGGCTTACCGTTATTTAAAAAAGTAACAACAGAGGGGGTTACCTTATAAAGATATAGCATCAATATTAAAATATTCCTAAAGTATACTTTTGAAATAAGAATATACATTCAGTGTGAATTAATTTGCATTGCTTTTTAAATTAGTATAGTCATTATTTTCCAGGCTCCATCAGACCACAGTTCAACTATGCTGATACCATGATATTGGTTCAAATCTTTTATGTTTAAACACAGTGTATCTTCAACCAGAAGGAAGCATTAACCAAGTAATTGGCTAAGCCAACTTGAATTTCTGTGGTCAAGAATAATTCTTTAAAGTTTAAGACAGTATGTCCTTGTAAGAACTAATATATTAATTAAAACTTAGGGTCAACAATATACACTGTAGGCATAAATTTAAACATACTTATGGAACTTTCAATAAGCTTTTAATAGAGGTAATTTCAATACATGTGCAACACTCTTGGACAATGGGCAAATAAGTGTTGTTAAAAATATTAATAAAGCTTTATTATTAAATAATAATAAAATATTATTAATATTTTACCTTCTGAGGTCACTAGATAATATTTAGTCTTGAGTTATATGGTATTCATGATTTAAAATAAAATTCAATTTCCAGACCGTATCATCTTTAAAAATACAACCATGACTATATGCAAGGTACATGCCAAGATTGAGTTACTTTTAAAATGGAAGTCCATTTTTTTCCTAGCACAATATAAATAGAGAAACAGATAGGATACATTGTGTCTCTTTAAACATAAAAAGGATTTGAAGACTAGAAGGTATCAAGTCAGCCTAGAATAGTTTATATTCAAATTAGGTACTCAGCTAATATATATTTTTTAAATTTTTATTGGAGTATAGTTGCTTTACAATGTTGTGTTAGTTTCTACCATACAGCAAAGTTAATCAGCTATACATATACATATATTCTCTCTTTTTTGGACTTTCTTCCCATTTAGGTCACCACAGAGCATTGAGTAGTGTTCCCTGTGCTATACAGTAGGTTCTCATTAGTTATCTATTTTACACATAATATCAATAGTGTATATATGTCAATTCCAATCTCCCAGTACATCCCACTCTCCTTTCCCCCTTGGTATTCATACGTTTATTCTCTACATCTGTGTCTTGTCTGTGTCTCTATCTCTGCTTTGTAAATAAGATTGTCTACACCAATATTTCTAGATTCCATATATATGCATTAATATACAATATGTTTTTCTCTTTCTGACTTACTTCATACTGTATGACAGTCTCTAGGTCCATCTACGTCTCTACAAATGACCCAATTTCATTCCTTTTTATGGCTGAATTCTCCATTGTATATGTACCACATCTTCCTTATCCATTTCTCTGTTGACGGACACTTAGGTTATTTCCATGTCCTGGCTACTGTAAATAGTGCTGCAATGAACACTGGGGTGCATGTGTCTTTTTGAATTATAGTTTTCTCTGGGTATACGCCCAGGAGTGGGATTGCTGGGTCACATAATAGTTCTATTTTTAGTTTTTAAAGGAACCTCCATACTGTTCTCCACAGTGGCTGTATCAAGTTACATTCCTAACAACAGGGCATGAGGGTTCCCTTTTCTCCACACCCTCTCCAGCATTTGTTGTTTGTAGATTTTTTGATGATGGCCATTCTGACCTGTGTGAGGTGATATCACATTGTAGTTTTGATCTGCATTCCTCTAATAATTAGTGATGTTGAGCATTTTTTCACGTGTTAGTTGGACATCTGTATGTCTTCTTTGGAGAAATGTCTATTTAGGTTTTCTGCCCATTTTTGGATTGGGTTGTTTGCTTTTTTGTTATTGAGCTGCATGAGATGTTTGTATATTTTGGAGATTAATCCTTTGTCAGTTGCTTCATTTGCAAATATTTTCTCCCATTCTGAGGGTTGCCTTTTTCATCTTGTTTATGGTTTCTTTTGCTGTGCAAAAGCTTTTAAGTTTAATGAGGTCCCATTTATTTTTGTTTTTATTCTCATTACTCTAGGAGGTGGGTCAAAAAACATCAGCTAATAATTCTGAATTTAATTGAACAAAATATGCAGAACAAGAGATTAAGAAACTTTTGCATTTTGACCATAGAATAAAAGTTTTATTTTAAAGAGATTACATTATTTTTGGAAAATTCAAGAGAGAAAATTAAGGTTTATATTCCAATTGTTAATAATTTCCATTAAATAAATCTGTCTGAAATATAAAAAAAATAACATTTTAAGATGTAAAGTTCTTAAGATCTGACATATTTTAGCCAACATATTTGTGAAAATGTAGGCTTGCATATAGCTTTGAGAAACTTGTTAAAGCAAATTTTGGGAATTGAAGTAATGGACATTACAAGAAGGATTTAGTACTATCCCAACAGAGCTTTTTATTCTTGTTGTTTACCATTAAAAATAAATTTCATCACAATTAACCTTGGGCCTGGCCTTTGAATTGGTTTTGTAATTAAGTTAAATAAGTAAACATGCAAATGCTATCATTCAAGCTCTCCCTTTCCAGAAATATCTCTCTTATTAAAAACCCATGTTGTCACCCTCTCCTTCTAGCTAACCTGAACTTAGAGAAAAGAAAGAAAAGCACATTGCCCAGGTCTCTCAGGGATCTCCTCCTGTGTAGGGGTAAAGGTAAATGGGTTGGATCTGGGTATTTTGGAAAAGAACAAATTTGCCAAAGGGAGATGATATCAAAAGGAACTCAGAAGGCATTCAGAGAATGAACAATATTTTGGCTTTGCATCCTTGTTTCCTGCTTTCTCATAACTGTATCCAACCCAGTTTAGTCAATAAAAATTAATGAATTCATTTGTTCAGCAACTTCTCAATACTATAAAGATTTCTCCTCTCTGAATATTAAAGAGGAAGTTAGGTTGGCTAGAACAATAACTTCGGCTATTATTTAAAACAAGTCTGAAACAAAACTGAAAATAACTGAGTATGTGTTATTTTCTACTTACTTTATAAACAGTTCCAAAAGCACCTGAACCAAGTACTTTTACTCTTTTGAGCTCAGTTTCTTTCAAAATACGTAGTTGAGCTTGATTAGGCGCCGTACCACTGGGTGTTAAGGGTTCTACCAACTACAAAGCAAAAAGAGTACAGGTTACACAACTTTTGATCCAACAATCAGTGTTCCTCTCTTTTTCTCTCTGGTTCACTTTCGCACACATAGAAAACACACACAAGACCACTCTTCCTTGACAAACAATATGTTTGTAAAATGGATCACTCACAATTCCTTCTGACCCTACCCTTTCTCTTCTCATGCTATTCACCTGGGTGAACACAAGTAACAAATGTGTACCTACCTTGAGGCATACTAGTCTAGGGGATTTTTTCCCCACTTTTTATAGAAATTTAGAGACTAATTAGGGGCTCTTAATTCTACTTTTTCATGCTCCTTCCTTTTGGAAAACTTCGTCTAAGACTTAAGAGATTTTACTTAATGCCAGTGTACTCTATCAAAGTTTTTTCTCATTTCAGGAAATTCGATACATAAAAATTAAATAAATACAATTTTTAAAAATTAAAAAAAGCTACCTTCTTATCATTTAATACCTAGCAGGGAAGTCAGGACAGACATGTCAGAAGAGAAGAAAACAAGTTAGCACAATGTCAATACACCAAGACAGTGTTTCTAAATCTTTCATGTACATATGAATTACCAGAGTTTTTTGTTAAAATGCAGATTCTGGTTCAGTAGATATGGATTTGTCGCTGAAATCTGCATTTTTACAGAACTCCAGGAGATTCCTCTTTATGATGATGGTCCTTGAACACATTTTAAGTAGCAAGGCCCTAGAGCACCTTCTAGGTTAAAAATTCTAAAATGCTATAAATTGATTCTAGATCATAAATGAATTCTATGAAATGCAGAGGAATAAAATAACCACTGGGGAGTGAGGTTTGCTTTTTGTGGCTCCTAAAAGGAGGAACACTTTAAAATTGGTCTTGAGATAATAAAAATGGATGGACATGGGGGATGACACTGCCACCAGGAAGAACAGTTTGGACACAGCATCAGGGAGAAGGACAGGTCTGAAGGGTGAGATTAGGGTGGGAAATACCAGTTCCTAAAGTGGGCTGGGTAGCCAAAAGGGGTAAAATTAGGCTGATAATTTTAGATGTCATAGTTTAGATGCCATTTCCAGAGAGGATGGGTAAGCAGAAGAAAGGTATGTAAATGTGCCAATTTCTTGACTATGTGAACACAAAAATGTAGACAGAAGAGAGACTCTGGGTACCAAAAAGTTTAAACTGTATGTTAAAATTTTAGAGTTTTAACTATGCTTGAGGAGAAAGGCAAGTCAGAGAAACAAGAGCTTTTTTAAAATTTATTTTTAAGTTAAATAAAAGAACTAAACTTTAAACACAGACAAATAGCTTGTTCTCCCTCAGCATAAGGAAATAATTAAGGCCTACTCCTACTCACATTGTCTTGAAAACCACCACAGTATTTCAAAATGTCTGTTTATAAGGCTAACTGCACTGCGGTCCTCAGCTTGGTTATTATTATCATGCTTCTGTGAACATCATGGTCTACTTAATTAGCTAAACAGAATCTTGAATGTAGGTAAAGTTTAGGGATGTTAGCAAGAATTTGGGAAAGGTGATAAGAATTATAATATTCTTAAGCTATTTTTTAACAGTCTGGCAACTAATACACTTTTATTTCAATTTCAAATTTATCCTGTAACAATGCATATAACTGCATTCAAGTCCCATAAATCTCAGAAAGAGTCACACAATTCTTTAACAAATCTGAAAAAAATCTCCTGCAGAGGATCCCATTCATTTGAATCCTGCTGTGCAGGATTTCTTTCATAGATTTTGATACACATACTATGTATACAGTAAGAAACTTTCATAAAAGTCTAAAAGTTATAAAACTTTACAATCATATACAAAAGTCATACAAAAATCATATGCAAGATTGGGGACTGGATTTCAGCAGTTTAGGCTAGATAGACTTAAAAATGTATATACATGTATTATATATAGGCATATACTGTGCAATAATTTCATATTTTGAAAACTTTACAATTCTACCCGCAATTTTATTAAGTATCATTCAATTTATTTCTACAAACACATTTTTTCCCCCAGGAATTTGAGTATTATACCATTAAAAGAGCACAGTTTTATTTTATGACCCAGTATGGTAGAAAGACAATTGAGTTTAAATTTGTGGGTTTGTATATCATTGTTGCCACTTACAGGCTTAGAACGCAATTTGCCTTTCCTGGCCCTTCATTTCACATCTGTGAAATTGGTATACCAATAATTATCTTAGAAGATTGTTAAAGGATGAAATGGTATATACATAGGTGGAAAACTCTGGAACATTACCTGCCATAATATAGGCACCAAATCTGTCACTCTTCAAGGGATAGGATTATATCTCATTAATACATTTCTAAATCACAGCATCTATCAAAGCATCAAGCTTATAGTGCATCTCAATAAGTGTATATTGAAAAAAAGATTTTCTACTTTTATGCATGCAACAGAAAAAAGACAATCTGGGTCAACATGATTTTGTGAAGCGTATCAATTTTAAAAATCTTCCAACAACATATCATGTTTTAACAAAGTTTTCACATCTGAGGCAGATTTCTAGCTTCAGTATTTAAGAATTTAAGTTGAACCTGTTAAAAATTCCTCTTCTATTTAGATGGTAGAAAATCACAGTTATTTACTTTTACTGAGAGAAAGATGAGAATTCAACAATTAGCTAATTTAGTCCTAAGCTATAACTTTCTATAAAAAATAGAATATGCTTATAAAACCAATCAGTATGTGTTTATTTAGTAATGAAATGCCAATTTGGAGGGCATTATTAGAAGCACCATATTAACAGCACAAAACAAAACAACTATTTTCATAGCAATGAGCTTTTCCTACACGTAGTTAAGAGACAGAATTTGTCTTCTATTTATTCAATCACCTAAATATGCACTGCTATTCCAAACCTTTAATTCCGTTCCAACTCTAGTTTATTTACTTCACTTTTCAGAATTCTTTCAGTGACTGCTCCAAGCTGTCCATAAGGGAGAATTCTACCTGTCTCCATCATCCTAGCTAACCTGAAAATATGCACAGCACATGGGCTGTGCCCAAACTTTTATTCATGTTCACATGTACAAGGCTGAAAGTGATCAAGTTGATCTTTTGTAACATCCAGCTCAAGTCGGAATCATTACTATGTTCACTCTGTGTATATAACTACCATTTTTATGCTTGAACGTGTCTACTGATAAGACAGCCCATTTAATTTCAGATAACTTCAATCATTAGAAGTATCTTCTTATATGTAACTGTATAGTAGCTTTCTGAAACTTTCAAATAATTCTATCCAGATTTAACTTTTGGGGGAAAAGAGCTAAAATTTAATTCATTATCAGTGTGAGAAACATATGAATGAATGAATATTCCCATTACTTTCAGTGTTAAGAGGAAAAGTCAAAATGTCACACTGACAGTGAGACAGAAAACAAATGCAAAGAAGGCAGACTGTCTCAGTACAGATTTGCTCTGAAATGTTCAGATAGGCATGGATACGTGTATCAGGAGAAAGAGGTAGGATTCGAGTTGAGAAGGATATGGTAACACATGGTCTTCTGCAATTGTTTTACCCCTATAACCTTTATGGTGAAAACGATCATCTTGCATGCTAGAGAATTCAGTGTGGCAATACAAAAGAAATTATAGTATTTTATGGATAATTTACATATTCACAATAACTAACATGCATAATATTAAATGCACCTCATAAATAGTGTGATAAGGCCTATGTGATTACAAAACTAAGCTTTATCCTGAAGCTCATCTTTTCACTGCTGCTATAATGAGATCAGTGGCTACCAATTTAATGGCCCTAATTAAAGCATAAATTGCTTGCCAATCTGGCTTTATTTTAAACCAGAAAAATTCTATTGTTTTCTAACATTTTTCTAGTTCTGCTACTGAGATATTCTCTGACTCAGATATTTTCTAGTTCTGCTACTTGTATATCCTAGAGCTTGTTAATGGACCCCTGTCTCCAAAAGAAACAGATCTGGCCCAATATGATAATTTCCTTGACCCCTGCTATTTGCCCTCTTCAAGCCATGAGCCTGCCTTGACTACACTTATATACTCTGATTTTCCATCAACTTTGCATACCATACTATAAAATATAAACCTTCAGCAGGAAATTGAATAGAATTTTCTCTTGGATTAAAAAACTAAGTATCTAAACCTTCTAAACCTAATGAAAATCCCTAACACTTGAAGAGAAGAAATGAACACCTCACCTCTGTTTCCAGGAATCTTCTTAAGGCTCTTTTCTTTTTGATGCTCTTCCTTCTAACATAAACTGCAAATGTTAGACCCACAATGACCATGATGAAGAGCCCGCCAATGACTCCGGCTGCAATTAGAGGAGTCCTGCCAACCAGAATGGAAAAGTAAAGAAAAAAGTATGAAGGGAGAAAAGACAGAGGAAGAGGAAAAAGCAGTTGGACAAGCCATTATCCACATATCACAAGTCTAGTCAATTAGAAGAAATGCAAATTAAAAGTGCATTAAAGCTTTCACAAAACTTTTCTCATGGTAAAAACTGTACCTGTTTTTTGTTTTGCTTTGTTTTTTAGTAATAAACCATGCACAGACAACTAATCTTTGGGGATGAGCAGCCACAACATGCCATTTGATGAAAAAATGTAAAATTTGATAACAAAATGAAGAATGTATGCCAAATTTTTGATATAGGATAATTTTAAATCATTTTAATTTTACTTTTATCTATAAAGAAGTAGAAATGCATTTAAATAGTATTGTTGTGGTTTATAATATTATTTTCAACGTCTTCTCTGAAGCAGGCTTTCTCAACAGTGGCACTATTGACATTTGGGGCTGGATACTTGTTCATTCTGGGGACTGTTTTTTGCATTTTAGGATGCTTAGCAGCATCCTTGGTCTCCATCCACTAGAAGCCAGCAACACCTCCATCCTCTAGTCATGGCTGTCTCCAGACATTGTCAAACGTCTGTCAAAATCACTGCCAGTTGAGAACTACTGTTCTAAACCAAAAATGAGTGGTCTGAGGACCTATGAACCCCACACCTCTGGTATATAGAGATATCAACAGAGAGATGCATTGACAAAAGTGCTATTTCAAACTCTGGCAAGGGCAACTTTGCTGGGACAAAGGGTACGAGAAAGATGAAGACTGGGTCAGATGGGTTTTCAGAGTTATGATGACTGGAGTAAGCATTATTATTAAAAGTATGAATAAGCATCATATACCCATGAAAGATGTCTACACACTAAGTATTAAATAAAAATATGTAAATAGTATTAAAAAGGGATTAGGAAGAAATTGACTGGAGATTTTTATTCTTAAAATGTTTCTCTAATATATTGTTAGCTAATGTATAATTTTGAAACTGATCACTTTTTGTTTTCCAAGATCAATTTTTGCTTGCTTGAAAAGTAATGTTTATGGTCTCAACTTCTTGTTCTGGAGTAGAGTAGTATCTGTAAGCTTTCTGTAGTCAGAGCCCTGAAATATATTAATTTCATATGCCATAGCAAGCCGTTCAGAGTAAAACACATAGGTGTTGACTATGAAGTCATGATAGATATCAAAACTAAAAAGTAACTCCCTGAATGCTCATGCTTTCCATAGTAAAGTGTTTTATATTTTATATTCCTATTTATAGAAGAACCTACTCTATACAGCTACCCTCCTTCAGAAAAAAAAAAAAATTACTTGTTCTTGAAAGGTAAACTTTTGCTCAAAGACAGATCGGAAATAACGAGAGGAGATGATCCTAAATAGAATTTTTAAATTTTAAAGAGCTCTGGGAAAAAATCTGGGTAACTTCTATAAATTAAGTCATGTCTTTTAAACATTATAACTGTTATATTATTGTCATATAAAACTGCAAAGAAACCTTAAAATGTAGTTCATCCTAAAGGTTGTTTCCTGACAGCTCAAAGTCCTACAGCATACTGAAATGTTGCTATAATTCAACTAGATTTTCCTAAATGGAATTTTCTAAAGACTTAAAAATCTATGCTGAGAAAATTAAACTAAAGTATGGAAACAAACTCATCATTGTGATGTGTTTTGGTGTGTGTAAGATCACATTTTTGGTATGCCAGTTATATGTATTTCAGAAAATATTTTAGTTTTCAACCCAAGGCATAATTTTCAGCTCAACTGCCTAACACATCCCTGAAAAGCCACTACTATAAAAAGAACTGTATTTTTGTTTCCTGAGCCCAATTTTTTATTGCAAAGGATTTATGTATGATTGAGAATAGTCCCCAGTATTTTTTTAATTGTGGATTTGAACTAAACTCTAAACTTCCTCTGCTTATCTATTTTTCAAAAGAATAAATGGTATGTATTTATGACAATATTTGTCAATGTCACTGTAAATTAAAAGAAAATTCTTTTTTTTTTCATTTTAAGAATGATCACTTCCAATAGAACAAAACAAGGTCCCTGACTCTATTTTTTTTTCATCTAATTTGGATGGATATCAGTTATCATATCATTACTACTTAGTTTAGTCATGGCAATGAAAATAAAACATTCAAAAACTCAATAGACAGTAATTTCTATGATTTTTCTAGTTAGCTTTTAGTTTTGATATTTTCCCTCAGCAGTTCCTTGGTTGACTTGCATTCCTCTAGCTTCTTTCTTCTTTTACCACTCTACAGGAATGATAAAGGTACAACCAACCTGAAGAAATAAAGAACTAGAGTTTCTGCATCTAAAACTAATAAATAAATGATTTTTTGGATATTTTAAGAGGCCAAACTCTTCTTATTCCAGAGAAAGTTACTCTTGAAAAAGAACATCAACCACAAGGAAGCAACCAATTAATCTGAAAAGGGACAATGTTCTATAAGAAAACTTGCTTTTTCTCTTTAATGAGTGAGTATCATGAAAAAAGGTACTGATCTTGATTAAGAAGACTTAATGTTCACAAAACCAGACATGAAATGAAATCCTGGCCTGGACTCTAGCATGGACAAGCCAACTGTACAGAAATTTTTTAGATAACTTGAGAAATTAGAATATGGATTAGATAGTAGACGAAATAAAAATGTGTTGGCATGTAAAGACATGGACCAGAAATTGAAAAGACTGAGTTACAAAACAGTAGGATTTAATCAGAAAAAAGTTCATATACACATACACGTATATGTGTGTAAAAAGATCTGGAAGAATGTACAATAAGACACTATGACTCTAGTGTTCTTATTTTTGTATTTTTACTTTTGGGCATTCTCTAATATTCTACAATATATTTATTTTCCCTTTGAAATAAAAGTTAATTAAATTTAAGAAAAATACAGAAAAAATAAATCATTGTCTAAAAGCTTAGTTTTACAATAATGGCCTTGTTTTCTTTCTTTATTTTTTTTTGAATGTTTACTTTGCATCTTTTCAATTAAGAATTCATTTTGCTATTCCCTGTCCACTTTTCTGATCTAAGTGCTTCTGCAGATATTTTTTATTCATTATAGCTTAATGTGTCTGAGACATTTAATTACCACTATGTTTCTTATAATTAACATTATGTTTTATAAGACCACTCTAATCTGAAGTTATACTACTTACACATTTCCTATGCCCCCTGCAGTTTTGATGATTCCTAGGTATTTGTAGGTGTAGGATAGATGCCCTTTTTTTTTTTTTTTTTTCCTGAGAGTTAATGCTTCACTCTTTATGAGGATCCTTTGGATAAAGGGATATAGCTACTTAAGTTGCTTTTTTAAATTACTGTATATCCCTCCTAGGTCTCATGCTGACTATTTCCAACTAGGCTATATTCCTGAAAGAGTGTGTTCCTCTTATATGTTAGTCAGAGTAGCCTCCAAGAGGCTGAAATGTGACACTATTAATGAAATCAAAACCAAGAGACCTCGAGTACTCTGTAATCCCTTATCTGTAACAGGATTATTATTTGTTTCCTATCTTTTACCTGTCCATTAAAAATCGCTGGGATCCCCTAAAGTATACAAGATAGGACATGACAAGTGATAAGTGCAAGCTTTTTCTAAAAGGATGCTATCAAGTGATATTTTACCTTATTCTGTGATTTAGAAATAGTATAATGAAACTGATATTGTCTACTCATAGAAACTGATATAATAAGGATTCTGAATCACAAATGAGCTTGACTAATTTATATAAAAGCATGTAACTTGGTTTTCACAATTTCATTCAGAAGTTCAGAGACAACACAATGCATTATAATCTACTGCCTTGAATGTAGTTACCTATTTTAAACAGTTATATATAGAAGAGTAGTGTCTTCCCAAACCATACTACTCATATAATAAGATGTATTCTTATTATTCATTACTCTGTTGAACCATGCTTTTCCTCACTGGAGAATATAAAATGTGAGAGAATCATGGAAGCTGATTTTATAAACATCGAAATATTTTCTTTCATTGATCTGTTTCCTTCCAGATAACAGATCACAAATAAAATATAGTACAGTCAATATAATTTATGATTAAAACTCAAATGGTTTTAAAACTATTCCATTATACCAGTTTTCATTTAATGTCAAGGGCAGGCTATTCTACAAAAAATGTGCAGTGGTATTTTCTTTAAAATTGTAAACGGTAAAACTGGTAGTTTGATTAATATAGTCACCAAATCTAAATCTATAGGATTCCTTTCTATGAATTTCACCAAATAAAATGATTTTAAATTTGTAATATAGGTATATTTTTCTTCATTTCTTAAATACAGAATAATTTTCGGTTACAGATAAAGGAATCAATCAGCAGCCCTATAACACACTGACAGTATAGTTTGTAACTCACGGTATTGACTTTAAATCAGAGACCTCCATTTTTAGAAGCTTCTAAAGTAAATAGTTTGAAGATGGGTCATCAGAAGTTGCTGGATCAGACTTAGGGCTGCTTCACTGCTTATCTATGGGCACTAAAGGTTAAGCTGATTTTTAAAAAATGTACACAGAAGTAAAAACAAAAAAGAAAAGCTGCAGGCTAGTCAGATAATTTTAACCAGACATTTTTGTATAAGAAAGTTTAAATAAAATTATAAAATAGTGCCTCTAACATTATTATTTTGTGTTTACCTTCAAATCTGCACGCTTTTTCCTTATAGTGCTGTATCATGCTGGAAAGATGTTTTCACATCAGACCAGTCAGAGCTTCAATTATGTTGTGCCTCCACTGGTTGTGAGCAGTGCCTCTATCAGATGACTCAGCTGAGATGCACATAAGTACATGCTTCACGTAAGGCAATGAAAAATAAATATAGCAGGAGCCAGCTAATCTTTCTTGGATTCCTGAGATCTGATACACTTGCCTCTAGATCCTGCCTAGTAGTATTCTTAAATCAAATACCTTTAAGCACTGGCAAATCATATGCCTCCTGTAGGCCA